TCAGACTGGCAAAGAAAGAAGCCCTGAGCAGTGCTGCTTCTGCTCTGGGTCAGAAGCTCTGCAGAGTGGTGTGAGAGCCACCTGTGGGCCAGAGATAAGCGAATGGGCCTGGAAGGCAGCAGTGACGTGCATAGCAAAGACCGCTGTGCTCCATGGGTTAGGACCACATGGGAGGTGAGGGTTCAATTCCTGGTCCGACCTGAAGGCTTGGATAAAAGAGCCGGGCTTGTCAGCGCATCCCTGGGACCCCAGGAGGCAGGCGGGGCAGGAGGTCACAGCACAACAAGACAGTGTCTTCAGAACAAACAAAAACCAGATGAGCTGGTAAGAGGGTGGTAACGCAGCCTGCCTGAGTGCTGGGAGGCAGCACCTAGACAGAGGACCAGTTGCACTTCCTTCCCATCGAGTGCAATTCATGGAAAAATCAAATGCTTAGGAATATACTTGCCTTGCCTGTTGTTGATGATGCCATGGGTGGACAAAGGGAAACTCAACGTCTTTGTTCAGTAGTGTGCTGGAAAACAAGTGTTTGACTTAATTATATATATATAGTATTATATATCTAAATATGCATGTTATATGTAACTATATATCCTATATATATCTATTTAGTATGTATATTCTATGTATATGTGACTAATTTGTATCTGCCATTTCCATGATGTGACTAATTTCAAGCCGACGCTACAATGTCTCTGGAAGAGGACACAGGTGAAGCCATGTACAGTAGGCTCCAGAGTCCATGCAAGCTGCCGAAGAGCCAAGGGTAACTGCCTGGACTGGGGCTGGCACATACACACTTTAAAAGTCCTTTCGGGACTGACCCCATAGCCTAGTGGGTAAGGGAACCAGATCTCACACAGTCAACCTCATGGTTCGAATCCTAGTCCTGGCAACAAAAAACACACCGGGCATGTGTATGCCCTAAATCCCAACAGGATGGAGACACAGAAGAGAAGGGAATGCAACATGATCATGCCACGCTGGAGAGTGCTTTCTCCTTCTCTCTGTCTCTCCCCAGTGAGGGAATGCACCCTCTGGCAAGTTAAAAAAATAAACAAAAGTGAAAACCTTTCATGAGATTCTGCGTTTAGCTAGGTCTGAGAACCATTACTTAATGTGGCGCATATCGACCTTTTCTGGGCCTGTGACTCACCTGGAGATCTTGTTAAAATGCAGGCGCTGACTCAGTAGGTGCTGCTGGTCTCCGGCAAGGGAGGTGAGTGGACTGAACAAAGGAAAACAGCCACCCACAGCCCGGCTTTGCCAGCAGTGCTGCAGAAGGGGAGTCACCGGCTGCAAGTCCATGAATCGCAGGGTCTGTGATCAGTGCCTTAGAGATACTTTCTTTTACCCAATCTGCATTTAGTTTCTAAAATTGGAGTTTGAGGAAACAGCAGAGGGCATAAATGTTACGTTACTGGGCTCCCATGTAGTGGACTGTGGTTCGAGTCCCGGACCTGGTGGATTAAAACTCATGCCAGGTCACATATGCATGCATGCCCAAAATCCTGAGAATAGAGGAGAAGGGACTTCGAAGTGGCCATCCCCCTGGGGAGTGACTTCTCACTTTCCCTCTCTCTCTCTGCCTCCAGCAAGTACATGGACCCTATAGCAAAGACCTCTCCTAAAAAAGAAGTAAAATAAAAATTCGAGTTTGATATCGGTATCATAAAAAGCTGCATTTCCACCTTCTCTAGGAAAGCATAACACAAAAGATTAAAAGCAAAAGCAGAAGAACAAATGAACAAGCCACAATACTGGGTGTGGCACCCACATGTGTGGTACTGCCCCCCCCCCACCCCCCGCAGAGAAGGTAGAGTCCTCCTTTGGCCACCATTGCCTCCTGAAACCCTCCTGCTTTGAGAGCATTACCTCCCTCACCCCTGCAGCAGTTCAGGAATATTCATATTTTAGGTTTTTACATAACTTTTCATAAAGTTTTTCCCTCCCTGGTTGCACTAACCTTCCTGTCTCATTTCCCACCATTCCCCAGAGAGACTGTAGATTCTTGAAATGCCTTCCATGTACCCTGGAAAGAGACTCTCTTCTTTCTCTCCTCCACACTTTGGGTGGACCACTGTTCCTAAAACCCTGCCTTCTTGTCTGCCGGAAACTCTAAGTTACTCTTTAAGACCCAGCTTGACTAGCGCCTCCCTGGGAAAGCCTTTCTGACACTCACCATGCCCCCAGAGCAGTGGGTCCCCTTCTATCAAGTCCTGTTCTCGCCCATTTGGAGGGTAGCTCCTAACTCCGGGTCTCACAGAACCAAGGACCAGCTTTATTCATGTGGGTGTTCCTGACAGAATGCTCTGCCATGCAGGGTCCTCATAGCTTGGTGAAGGGACAAATTAGGAATGCAGTTTTCAGCTCTTTGATTACATTCCCCTGAACTCTCTTTTGTTAATTTATCAAGGAGTTGGCAATTATTATCCTATCTAATAACGTACGAGTTAGTTTTCTTTCCATATCTATCTCCAGCCCCTCCATAGGCTCTCTCCTTTCCCCCTCCTCGAACTTCCATTTTGGTGCTGTTTACTTGATGTATAAGAATGCTATTTATTCTATAAACCTGGTTCCAGATAAAGATAGGTCACCTCCAATTAAACACCCCTTAAAGAGAATTAATACCTTATACCTTCATGGCATGACTAATCCTTTTCAAAGCACTTTTATTAACATTCTGTATTCTCACACTAATCCTTCAAAATATATGAGCAATGCATTACCCTTTTTCAGCATTTGGAAGCTAAAGTAAAAGCTCCCCCACAAACCAGGAATCAAGGAAGAGTAAGCTTGTGGAAAACCTTGGCAGTGACCACCTGAGTCCTCACAGAGAATCTCCACTCTGGTCACCATGAGGTGTTATTCCCAAGTACAGCTAGGTCAAAAATCTGCTTTATTCCACTTCACACAGCTCCAATCCCTACTATTTACTGAAAAACTCAGATGCAGGCATGTGAAATTAATATGCATGTGAACCAAAGCAGTAATCCAGGTGTTCTGATTCTCAGAATAAATCCTACTTTGATTAATTACACATCCCTACAATGGAGCTATAATCACCCAGCAGTACAAATATGCTTCATACACCTGCATTCCCGAATGTCTAGAAACCAAAAATCTCTTTAGGCAAAACCTTTGTTTTTCCTTAAAAAAAAAAAAAAAAAAAAAAAGAAAGAAAAACACAAATTTTAACAATGATCAGTCATTTTCTTATTACTTTTTTATTAAAGAGAGGTATTTGCTATAGGATGTGTGCACTCTCCAGAGAGACAGAAAGCGAGAAATCCCCCCCTCCCCAGGGGGGATGGCCACACCCACCGCAATCTTGGGATCTTGGGCACGCATGCGCATGCGCCTGGTGTGAGTTTCAAGCCATGGGGTCCGGGATTCAAAGTTCGTTGACTAGTGGGAGTCCAAGAACATAACCATTACACCATCTGCTGGTCCCCATTTTCTCATTACTTTGATGAGATTAGTTGCACCGGGAAACTTTAAAACACTCAGGGACAATTATTTCATCAGCATGCATAAAAAAGTCTGAAATTCATATGTTAACTTAGAACTTTCCATGTTACTTGTCACCTTCAAGGCAATGCTATGTACTCAATGCTTAATGCTTTTTTGGAAATATTTACATTCTAGGTGAGATGGGAAATTGGAGATTTTAGCATCCAGAGTTACCAACAACAAATGCAGTGCAAGTTAATGGAAAACACTTGATATGGGAGAGAGAAAATGATGATCTCAATCTGGTAACGATGGGTGATGGAAACTCCTTCCCGAGTTTAAAAGGGATTAGCAAAGCTTGGGAATCACAAGGTGTGATGCCATAATGGCGCATTTCTCTCACATTTCCAACTGTCTTCCAAGCATGTTTATTGTGGCCAGGATACACGCACCATGACAATGGGGTGCAAGCAGTCCCTCACCTGAGGGCGCCCATCAGCACTGCAAGACCACCACGCACTGGTGGGTGTGGATGAGGAGGGCACTTTCTAGCTCTGTCTCTTTGGAAAGATGAATTACTTAGAAAAGCAGAGTCCATTTTTTTCCCAAGCTCTACACACTCCTAACCCGGTGACACCACCTGACTTCCCTGCCAGCTCTGCTCCCTTAGCAAGAAGGGAAGGAAGAGAATCTGTCCTCCTTGATCAGTCAGGAGGGGATGTCTTCTGTGTTCACGTTCCCTTGATCACTCTGTTAATCCAATCTGTATAAAGCAATAGTCCAAGATACTTTTTTCTGAAAATGTCCTACATTTGTTGTATAAAGTGTAAGAGGGAGGCCTCTTCAGGGTACTCACTACTTTTCTTGTGTGATGATATTGGTTTGAATAACTCGAGGCTGCCAAGGATAGTGCCAGAGATTGGGTTACTCCAAAGTGACAAGAGTCTGATAGTTCAGTGGTTCTCAACGTTCATTGCACATTGGAATCACCAGTGAAGCTTCACAAATTCAGAATTCATTGGTGTAGTTTACAGCCTGGGTATTGGGAGCTTTAGAGTTTTTGTTTGTTTGTTTGTTTTTTTTGTGTGTGTGTGTGTGTGTGTGTGTGTGTGTGTGTGTGTACAGAATATGTCTGAAAGCCACACAAGCAGCTGGAAAGTGAGCCTGTAGTTCGGAGAGACAAGGAGATTCGATTTTGAACTGAGGGGAGGGATGGTGTTATTATTTTCTTTTATTTTAAAACAGAAAAATAAATGGTCATTATGGAAAGGAGCTGAAGTAAGTAGAAGAGAAATGCCACTCCCCCTTCTGTCTGTCCCCTGATTTTTTCCTAAGCCTTTCCCCAGCCGGTGTCTCTAAACTAGACAGAATCCAAAGCAGCAAAAAACTTCCTCGAAGTGAGAGAAGGTGGGGAAGTTCTAAGAAAGGGCAGACTCATCAGACAGTCCACGAAACGTGGAAAGTCAGAAGCGTGTGCGTGTTTGTGTGTGGAGGGGGCAGGCCAGGAAGGTTCCCGATAAAGCTGGGAGTTAGGGCCGGGCTCTTACCCCCCAGCCAGGTGTCCGAGATGTTCTGGAGCACCGTCACCGGCATGCAGAAGAAGGTGATGAGCAGGTCGCTGAGCGCCAGCGAGCAGATGAAGATGTTGGTGACGGTGCGCATGGCCTTCCTGCGGGTCACCACGTAGACCACCAGCGCGTTGCCGAAGAGCGCCAGGGCGAAGATGAACACGCCGGTGAGCACGAAGGCCAGCTTGGCGCGCGCGGGCAGCTCCGCGGTGTAGATGAGCGGCCGCAGCCGGTAGAGCGCGATGAACTGCTCCCGCGTCAGGTTGTGGTCCCGCAGCAGCCGGGAGAACTGCTCCGGGGTCACGTTGAGCGCCTGCATGCCGCCGGCTACGCGGGGCCGCTGGGGACCTGCCTGGAAGCCGCCTCCCTTCCGCTGCCTCCGGCTCGGGCGCGCCGGTGAGCTCCCGCGTGCACCCCGGCGGCCGCGCCGGGGAGCTCCCGCGTGCACCCCGCGAGGTTCGGGAGAAGGGAAGCCGGGCAGGGATCCGAGCCACGGTAAAGAGGCGGGAAGCCAGTGCGCTGGACGCTCAGTCCCATTGAGCTCAACATTCGCCGTTCACCGAAAGTTCTTTCCCACCTCGTCCCTAAAACCCGGCGCTGCCGCTCCCACAGTGCCCGCGCGCCTCGCGCTCCCTAGGTTTCAGGCCACGAGGTGCAGGCGCTGCAGGACCGTGGAGGGTGGGGCTGGCCTGGGCGACGCCC